TCAGTTTATACAATCTTTTTATATAACAGTCTATTTTGTGTTAACCAAGAGTATTATAATATTAAAAGTAGTAGGAGACTTAGTGGCATGTTCTTGTACATTCATATTACAAAATCTCCAAAATTGTACAAGAACATGCCACTAAGTCTCCTACTTTTAATATTATAATACTCATGGTTAACACAAAATAGACTGTTATATAAAAAGATTGTATAAACTGAAACACACATATATGTATATGTATATGTATATGTATATACATATACATATATTTATAATCCAAGAAAGTATTTGTTTTGGTGACCATAATTTTGAAGTTTTTATAAATTTAGATTAATTCACATGCTGAATTTCCAAACAAAATAGAAATACTGTCCAACCCAGGTAAATCATAGTGAAATAATAAACACATACTATTGTTAATTACAAATTCAGCACACGGTCAAGATTGTCCACATAGATACAAAGGGAATATATGCTGTTTGTGTTTATATATGTTTCCACATATTAATCATTATATATATCATATAGTCATGTATTGAAAGGGCAGTTTATTTATTCATGTATTAAATGTATAAAGCTGACCAACTCCATTGCCATTCTGGGAAGTATATAATAATATACATAAAAAACACAAATAAAAGAACATTGGGCTGGAAGAGGAGCATGGGGGTGGGGGCAGCCTGGGGGATGGCCTGCACTTCCCAGGGCCTTCCCTGGGGCCTTGAGGCACTCCATGATCTGCTTAATGACTCACACATTTCTTTAATGATCTATTGGTGAGAGCAGGCTGGGGGAGGGTTGTAAGTGAGGCAATCACAGGAGTGCTTCACATAATAGCCATCACCACTTCCAACCATAATGGGCAGGCTTGATTACAGTCATGAACTGAGGACTACCTGTACATAAGAGGCCTACTATACCTATACCTACTACAGCCCAGAGCCTAGGGAAAGAACTAGATTCTGAAAGCTGTTCTGAACAACTTCAGGATGAAACCAAACATATTTCTGGAAGGAAGCTGTTCCACAGGGCAGGAACTTTGACACAGAAAGTATATTTCTTAGGTACCATCAGATGACATTATTTAATAGATGGGAACTAGAGCATACCAACTGCCTGATTATACACAATGGATAGAAATCATGGAAGGTAGATGGTCCTCATATAACTAAGCCATATGTCACGAAGAGCTTTATTTCCAGGATCAGGAACCTACTGGTAACTGTTTTAGCCTATGAAGCAGAGGTATTACATCAGCAT